TTCGAACAAAACTGTATCATTCCAGCCAGGGCGCGCATAATGGGCGTTGATTAAATCCGCTTCTAGCCCGGGACACTCACTCTCGGATTAAAATAGCGTGAAGCTTTTCTGTCTTTTTTTTCCATCCCGTTCCTTCCTGTCCCGTTTCTTCCGCTGTGTTACTTTTGCCTCTCGGCCCTTCTCTCCTTTCGAAACTGTCTATCCCGAACGATTTTTTCGACCACCACCCGCCATCGTGCCTAACGGAATCTCTAATATCTTTTCTGTTTCTTTCTTTTCTCCATTTTCCTCTGTCCCCCGTGTGTCTTCTTCTCCCTCGATCGTATTCATCCGCTGCGGTCAAAGCAAACGCAAACATATATTCTCTTTATTCTCCGCGTGTTTCTTTTCCATTCCGATGCGTCACATTATTTATAATCTCTGTATTTCTTTCGAAACGAAGAGGCAACGTCCCAGCGAATAAATTCGATCTTACTTGTTTTCGTCGCGTTCAAGAATTTCGCGATCGACGAATCGATCGGTTGTTCCCTTTTCGATAGAAAAACCCTCGGTTCCGTAATTGTGTCGGTATTTTTATTCGAAATAATCGACGCTTTGTTCACGATGAAAGGCGTGAAAAGGAACCTCGAGCAAAGGTGTTTGTAAGTGGTCGGGCAAGAAGCGTAACGAGGTATCGATAATTGAAAATTCCTTCACCAAATGGGATCCGATGTGCAATAAAATACTTTCGTTTAACTTTGGCCATGATCAAAGGGACATTTCCGTTGAGTCGGAAAGGCAGGAAGTAGGCTAAATCGATACAGCGTCGATCGCGGTCGATGAAAAAAGTGGAGATGATCGGATAAACATCTGGTTATTTCGTTGGCGAATGTTAAAAAGAGTGCCGTTGAAACGATTACTCGCATTCGTGGGTAAAATGTTTGTCCATTTTGTCCAAGATATTAAAGAATAAGTGGATGATTTAATGGACACGCGGAAGCTGGGGAATTTCGCGTAGCCTGGCAATTACCCCTCCGACCTTCGATAAAAATTGTTATCGCCCATAAGCCGTGGAAGCCTTAAAATCCTATATAATCTTCGCGGATGATAAAGTGGCTCCATAAGTGGCGTAATTGGCCGGCGGAGTTTTCAGACACGCCCTGGGACCACGTTTCGATAGTAGTTTCACTATAGCCCTGTTTCTCGACGGATGAAATATGGTTCGGTTACCGGTTACTGTTACTGCGCGATCCCGTTTCCGCTGCTGCCGATCGAACTTCGCTGCTTTCTCTTCTTTCGTTACGATACTTTTCAAATTTTATCGCCCAAAGCGAATCGGTTATACCTTCACAGGGCGTTTCTGTTCGTCCTATCGTTGGAGCAACGCAAAACGGAATGCCACGCGAGTTAATTGAAAATTAGGCAACAAAAGAAGACGACGAATTCGTTGACATATAACGTACCGTTGCCACGACTTCGCTAACTTCGCTGACTTTGTTCATCCGACTTTTCAGCGTGAAGAAAACAAGGGGAAAATGGCCAAAGAGATTCATTGGAATTCCACGCGTGCCGTACGAATAAATCTTACCCAGCGTGAAAATTTATTCACCCGACTCTTTCTAGAATTAATAACCATATTCGTAACACGCAGCTCCCGTCGGGCCATACGATCGAGACGCGAATGCACGAATATTGCCCTCATATATAGGACGACAAGCCAGAAACCGTGCGGCTATCGGTTGATATCCGATATTCTCTTCTCCTTTATCTTAAATACTTCCAAAAAATTCGATCGACAATCCTGTTCGTTCGTTGTTACCGATTCGATATCGTGTCGTCGAATTAAAGTAATTAATTAACGAATCAATATTAAATTAGTAAACAGTCTGGGTGCAAATATTGGTCCAATATCCATGATTTTCAATGAATTATTATTTGACGTTCGTTCGCGCAGGTTAGCGTTCGTACGCGCAATGTTCTCGTATTTATCTCGGCAAGCGCAATTACCAGCGTACACGATAAACGAAGCGAAAACGGTTCAATTTTCTCTAAGGGGAAAAATAAAATGTTATCGTCTCTGTCGAAACGAGTTACTGTCCGTTGACCAGTGTCGGCCGCCCATTTTTCACGAACGTTAGCTTCTTTCTGGACGATGAAACGATCCCTTAATCCCAAACCTGTTATCGGAGCTATTGCCTTAAGCATCTTCTTGCGTTTACAACGCGTCGTCGAGTGTTTCTTATAAAAGCATGCACACGCAGCAACGATAACGCGGGATCGCTGTGTAAAAACAACGTCGTACGGTTTAAACGTTTGCACCCATAACCCTTTCTTCTTTCGCTTGGTAAGCTTCGTTTCGTGTTACAGCAATTGGTCGCGTGTCATCGCGTTGAGGAAACAACCCGTTAAACAACCGTTTCAAGTCGGAAACGCTGACAAATATTTTCACGCAACTTCACAAACGAACAGTTGTACAAGCGCGTTTTTAATAATCTGTCTTCGTTTCGTTTAATCATCCTCCTGTTTGTTTTTTTCTGTCGCATATCGACCGATCGCGCTATCAATTTCGTTGCAAAACTAGAACGGGTAATTTTTCACGGCATCCTGCTAGTATCGGTTGTCGATTTCCCTAACGAATCGCTCCCGAAAAATTGCTATCGTGATCGATGAATCGTTTCTTTTTTGTTTGTCGTGAGAAAGATTGCCCATGCTGCGTTCAATTTTCATTGGTAATTTTCGTAGGGAAAACAGACGATAGACATCGGCTGGTTGGAAGCGCATTATTAATATCGAAACAAAGTTTGCAAACTTTGCTCCAGAGATGATGTACGAATTTACTTGAGTGGTTGGAAAACGTGAAACGTAATTTCGTTCCAGCAAAGACCGGTTTGATCTCCGACCCTTATTTCGTTCTTTGCTCGACGCTTTCAGAAAGTTAGCGAAGAATCTGTCCGGAAAACCAGTAACGCGTGCCGCTTGAACTTTGCCGAATCGATCGGTAACCTAATTATTGTCAGAATATCGAGAAGAATCGCGATATAGTTGTCGAGCCGATCGATTTGTTTGCAGAAAAATGAAGTTACACGGGAAAAAAGTGGCTCTGTGATGTGTAATTATTCGCGTGCGGTGTGTACCACTTTATAAAATAGTCTCTGTGCTCGCGTTATTCCCGTACAAAACGAATTCGATTATTGCGGGACGCTGACACGAAAAAGGTGTACTACAGACTGTTTCATAATAATTTGATCATGACCGTAGTAATTTACGGCGATAAATTCAGCTAATATAACTTTATGAATTTTCATTGATTAATCCGTTATTCCTTATTCATTAATTACTCCCATTAATTATTCGTCGAATTAATTTCGTTTGTATCGCGTTACGCGCATATTCAGTTATACTTTTAAATTGACTAGGGCCTTCTACAATTATCATACGATTACCGTATTGATATTTGATTTAAGCAGTCATATTACATTCCGTCATTTCAATACCGAGCAAAATTGATCGATATGTTGCAGCGTTAATAATCTGATAATTATTGTATTTGACCGTATCGTCGAAAAATATATTTCCGACCGTGCGTTATGAAAGATCTCTATAGAAGATGGGGATGAAAGCATGGATTGGGCGCAGGGGGTTAGGCGGGGTTGTTAAGTGCCATATAGGTATAAGCACTCTGACGCGATGACGCAAATTAGAAGCTAACACGGCTATCGGTATGTCAGCGTTTTTTGAACACGGTGTCGCTATTATGCCGTGCACGGGCATGGAGCTTCGTTAAAATCGGGTTTGTTGCCGGAGTGTCGAACACGATGCTCGACAAAAATATTGGTGACTCGGTTAAAGTTGCTCGAGCTACCACACGAGAGAAAAGTTACCGATCACCGACCGTCCCTCGTGCCAACCGATCTGTTAATTAAACTACTTTTAAACGACTCTATCTGCTCAAAAGATTCTACCCTCGAGAATCGCTATAACGACGAGGAAGATGTTATCAACGATTTCGATACTTTTCGATGCATCGAACAGAAACCTTACACTCGAGAAATTTTGAAGCGAATAGAAGTTTCCGGTACACCAAAGGTATCAATCTCCACGGTTCGACTGTACGCGCGATCCAGCTCCAATCCTATTAATCCGTTTAATCCGAACTCCTACCTCTAATTAACCCGAATTGACAAAGTTTTGCCGCAAACGAAATCAAACCGCAATAATCCGCACCCTCCTTTAACCGTTAACCACCTCTGTCCCTAATTAGTCGGGATTAACAAGATTTCGTTATGGCCCATGGGTCCAGGGCGTACTTGCACCTGTAACCGGATAACCGGGACTCGATATCGAGCGAATAAACGCGGCGGCAACGATTGCCCGCGGACGTTTTTCCTCGTATAAAACTATCGCGGGACTTGGACGGAACGTCAGAGGTTTTTAATATCCGGCATTGCCTCGAAACAGACGAATCAACAACACGGTGACACCCACAGGCTACCGATCGATCTACGTCATTCGCGTGTTCCGACAGACAGCTGAATTTGTCTAGATCTTTCGAAAGATATAAAGTAACCAGTGTCGACGAATTCTCGAGGGCGTGAGGAACCTGCAGATGTCGGGGCTGATAACTTTCGAGAGCCTACGAATCTTAAGAATTCTGGAGATGTCGAGAATCGTGGGGAACTCAGGGATTCTAAAGACTCTGGGGATCTTACCGATCATAAGCCGTGAAATCTTTTACCTCTTGCCTGGAAAGTGTAAGAAAAAGTAGTATCGTCGGTACATAGTCAGACACGCGGCGCTATAAATTATTAAGCGTAATTTTCAATTATCCGTGCAACCTTTTATTTAATTCGACGTCCAATCGTCGTAATTAATCGATGAAAGGCACTCGGTTTTACACGCTACCACTGTTGTAATCCATCATCGTATTTTTTTCGCGAAAAATACTCGTCGCGTCGTAACGTAGAGCGACGTATCGCAACATATCGCAAAGAGAAATACACGTGTCGTGTGTTCTGTTTCAGGAAACGAGATACTGTATCGCGATGAAGCGGGAAATCTGTTGATCTACAATGTCGTATCGAGGAAGCCGAGAAAAATCCTGGACTCTAATAACAATGTGAGTGTGGCGACGTGTTCCGATTGATTAATACGCGTATCTAGAGAAAACGATATTTTGCGCGCTAGAAAGTTTATTCTAAAAAGGGTTACCTTGCGATTTTCAGGCGTTGATGTCGAGCTTCGATCATCAACTCTCCGCCGACCGGAAATATCTTCTTCTGGCCACCGATTATCAAAAGGTAAGGGGATCAACTATCATTTCTATCGCATCGATCCTTATAAGAACGATCAAATTTCCGACTAGAATGGCTCGTTATCGAAGTTAGCCATGAACAAAAACGAAAATTTCGACGTTATTAGGTCGATCCAGGAGCTGCGAATAAATTTCCTCACTGGACCGACCACCGAATTACACGGTGTGATAGGCTTCGATCAATACTCGCAGCTGCTGGCCATTTACGTTTAGCACACGTGTGCTATCTTTAATTATTTCAACGATTGGTATACTTCACAGTTGGAATGTACCCTCGAAAATGAGTAATAAATGTCGTTTTAAGCGTACACCGTGTACATTACGGTGCGGTAGGAATTTAGGGGAAACCTTTTTAAACTATCTTTTCTCTCAAATTTTTATTACGCCGTTTACAGACGCGATTCGTGGATATTCGACGCGTTACGATTCAATATCAGTTCATTAAGTTTACTTATGATTTTAACTGCATCAACTACGAAATACGCTGGATGGATTCAAGTCTCGGTACACGCAGGGTTTCTGTATCGAAACCGATCAACTTATCTCGAGCTTCCCGTTCCTCAAGTTTTCCGTGGTTCACTGAAACTAGGGATTCCGTTTTTCAAAGTTTTCTCCTATATCGAATAAAACCGAAGCCACGGTTTTTCAAAGTTTCTCATCGTTACCCGAACCTATTTTTTGAATCTCATCCTCTTTTATTGACCAGCGGACCAGTACTTTCCGTTTACCGTCAACTTCTTTCTTCTTCGTTAGCTCGACTTTCCTTGGTTATTTGAAAAAACGCTTCCCTCGAAAATGTTGATTTACGCGCACACGTTTTTACGCCGGGAAGCTGTTCAGAGTTGTCTTTGGTATTGAAAATCCTTTTACGAACGATAACAAAAAGCTTTACTCGAGGACGATATTGTAGGACAATTGTTCCATCGCGCTCGCATTTAAATGAATTGAACCACTCGTAGCAAGGATCAGCGGTGTTTTTGCTTAACGAGTGGACTGAAATTCACTGTTTTGCCTGGAAAAATGTTGTCAAGAGGAACGACAGCTTTTATGACATATTTTTTTCGATCGCCGAATTAAATTACGATATTTATTTGTAACGTAGCGTATTTAAACAAAAGCAGAACAATTTGTCGAATTTATTTGCACGATAAATAATACGGCAATAAAGCGTAGATCGTAACAAATTGGTATCGAACAAAATAAAAGCTACATCTGTATTGCATACGAAGTAATTTTATTTTTCATTAGGAGGAGCCGCGAACAGCGACGCGAGTATTATTATTTTCCTGTTATCTTACGTATTTTGATCCGTTTTTTGGAAAGCGAGAAATCGAATTCGCGTGAGCAATTCGTCAATATCGGTGTCGTGTAATTTGTACTGTACCTGCGATGTTCGACACGGTTCCCCGGTTAAACGAAAGTAAACCAATTTTCCGGTGTTTTCACGCGAACACGGATTATCAAGTTTCGAAATTATATCGGAGCTAAAAGTTAGAAGCGTATCGCGTAGCAGATATACGCGTGATAGAAGCACTTTTGCCGAGTAGATTTTGAGAGCGTATCGAACGTATAGCTGGCCTAGTTCAGCGACAGTACCAAGCGAGAAAAAGTGGCAAAGACTACGAGATTGTCATTCTCTTCTCGAGTAACAGCTGCGCAATCGAAAGCGACTATTATGCTAAACAGTCGTCCTACCGACAATTTATCTAATTGGTATTAGAATATAATCTTGCGGACTCGTTTCGTTTGAAAATCCAAAAATTTTACGAAGGCGTGTTTCGGAATCGTTTCTTTTCCAACGTTGCGCGGCCGACACTTCTTTTCCTATTTGGCCGTATTTCGCTTCTCTCGGCACGGTTTCGTTACATTTGTAGAGGAGGGCCGGCGGAAAGCTCTCCTGTACAACTGACTGCCCCATAGCGCGTGTAACGCCAACGAACCGCGTCCCATCTTGTTACCGCTGCACGTGAAATCCTGAGTTATGTATGTCCGACCTGGTCAGCTGTTGGATTTCCGAACAGAGGATTCCATACAATTACAGACACATCGCGAACAAATCCGCCAGATGATTTCGAGAATCCGACTAGTAGAGGATTTGAAAATTCTATAATAGATGGTTATTAAAGGATAGAAAGGTGATAAGTAGAAAGCGAATAGCGATCGGAGATTCAGGATGCAGTAGATATAATGTATGCATTTGGGAGGAGGTGGAGGTTGCAAAGGTGGTGGTGGTGGTCGATTATGCGTAGTGCTGAATGGCGAGGAGGAATCGAGGAAGCCGAGCACAAGGGTTGGCAGGTTACGTAGGCGATATGCACGTCAGGTATTATATGGTATTTAGGCATGCGTCTGTTGACCCCTATGCAACCTCTCGTGTTCTAGTATTCCGTAGTCGGAATTATGTTGGAACACGTGGCTCCAAGAATATCGTGCGTATGGCTAGCTTTGGGACTAGCGGATACCCGATCTCTATGTTATGTATTAATGGGAATCTAGAGCAGATGGTCATGAAGCAGGTCATCTTTCCGTTTGCATGCTAATCGCTTGAATTTCAGCCTTTCTCGGCTTAGTTCAGTCAACTAAGTTTCGGTTGCGGTGTGTACTTGGACTTTCGGCTGAGCTATAGCCAGCTGCTATACCGCCAACGCTTTCGGAACAATTTTGCTTCTGGCTAGAGAGCTTAGCTCGAGCGTACACCTTCGATTCCTCGTTTCGCGTAATTCGATCATCGGACGAATGTTGTTTCAGAAATATTGGATTATATCAGAATTCCGAATTTATTCGCGGCACGGTACTCGCCCTGTTCGACGAACCAGCCAGAGATTAGACGTCGAACCGTTGAAACTCCAACTTCGAAATCGAATCGTCCGGTTTCCTAGGCGACTGCTTTAATCCATTAAGCGATCTGGGTCACCGACCAGTTTTTTCTAAGCCTAATATTCGAAACGTCCGATAACAATCGTATCGAGCAGCCAACGAGCGGAGGGACCACTATGAATATTATACCGGCTAGAAAGTGTTATTCTCTTCTTATTGCCGAGAGAACTCGCCGCGTATAACGAGTAGCCTTCGGGCACGCTGCCGCGCTCTCGGCTATACAGAACGGTTAATGTTCAACGAAAGTCACTACTTTTTTTTTTTACACCGACTATGCTCAAAGAACGTCTTTTTCTCTTCATTCGCTTCTCGTTAACGGCTCTTTCGCCTGTAACGGACTTTTATTCCCTTCAAATGGCACCCGAACAATGTTCACCGAACCGTTTGAAATTTTTTCTCTTACCGTATCATCGATTATTTGCGAATAACTCCCTCCGCGGCCGACACTTTGTTAATCCGTTTTTGAAAAACGCCCTGCCGATGAATCTATTTCAAACGAATGCTCGTTATTTAACGAGAAATAAATGGAACCGAATGATTTATCAGCATTTTCGTAATACGTATGTATTTCGTAGTATTTTTACATGCATCGAAATGGAAAATAAAGAGAAACGTGTCTCTTTTCGTTCGATCTATTCTAACCCTTTTATTATCGTTTACAATTTACGAGAACAAATTTTCCCTGATAATGTAGAAGAAGAAGCGGAAACATAGAGCCATCGGCTATTCGCCAAATGAATATTCATCTATAAACATGACTTGTTGGACGCTCGAAGCGTTACGATGAACCGCTAGCGAAAACATTTTAATATTCGAATGGAAAAACGAGCAGGAAAAGTAGCGAAAACGTTCGATCGAACCGCGAGAAGTTCTTTTTCTTAATCGAGATGTTGGTTCTTTTGCTTTTTTCGCCGTTGAAGCGAACCTGTCCGAGTTGGAACCGTCCGAGTGGGCGTGGTAATACCGGCACGTAATTAATCACGATGATTAATACCGTTCCGCGTAGTAATTAATGCGTGTAATTAACGATAAACGTTATTGTTATCGTCGAGGAGAAGAATCTGCCGGGGCGAGAGTTACAAGGTAAACACAAGCGACTATTATTAACGCGTCGAATCGGGTCGTTAACAATCGACGCGATCGAATCGTCGTACAATTAGGAGAACAAACAATCAGGGTGAAATAGAAAATTGACGGTAATCCTACGGGAAAAGAAAATCCATCGGTTAGGAGGGAAGAGTAAACGCAACGCCGACGTAGTTGGAAGAAATAATACTAATTGGAAGGAGGGACGATACACAATGGACGTCTAATGAATTTCCGGTTGCGAGTGTACACGCGTAGGCAAGTTTGCTGATTATTGGAATTTTCCATGGCGGCGTTAACGGCTGGGAAAGAGAGAAACACGCAACGAGGTCGAGAGAACGGGGGAGCGGTAGTAGGTAGAGTAGACGAGGAACACCGAGGGCACGTCAAAAAGAAAAACTACGAAAAAGAGAATATTGCTGTGCCACCATCCGGTCCTTGCATCATTAGAGGATGCTGCCACGTTTGTGCGATAGCGTGTCACGTTGCTCGTCGCATAATGTGTACCTTCTGACTGGAGTTTTATCTATCGACGTGCACCGTGCGCGTTTAATGAAGTCACGCTGTGCTGTTCAAACATTCAAAGTGGAAAATCGGTCTCGCCGTGATCTCGGCTCGTTAACGACCGATTCTTATCGCGTTTTTTCTTCTTCTTCTTTCTCTACCCCTTTCCCGTCGACGATTCAGTTCCGAGACTTTTCTAGTTCTCTCCTTTTCTTCGTCGATAGGAACGTTTCAATTTATAGCAAATTCACGTCGTATCATCGAGCGATTCTTCGAATCGCCGACGCCTAATGCTCGGAATCGAGACAGTTCTCTTTCTCTGTAACGCATCGCGGTACATAATGAAAGTATAAAACGGTAACGCGAAGATCGATAGAAACTCGCGTAGGAGAAATCCTCGAAATTAAGCGATAAAACGGTCGTCGATCCGGCTAGTTTTCAACGGCGAATGAATTTCAGGACCCTGTCAGCGGTCTTCTAATTAAGATAAGCAATCTTGAAATGCTCGTTCGTTCGCGT